GTCGAATGAGTTCATTTGCACTGAAAGTGAATGCGCAGTCATTCTTGTATTGTGAAAAGAAGCTGAAAATGATCGAAAGTAATCACACTTTCAATAAAAATGTACACTTGCTAAATCCACCTTTAGTCTTAGTGACCCTGGAGGTCAAAAGGTGAAATTTACCGTTTTGCACTAGGAAGATTTAAAGCAATAAAATGTCAACGTAAAATATAAAAGGTTCAGAAGCGTTTTGGTTCTGTTATGCAAGTTCATTTTTGACGTTTCAAAGTAAAAGTTCGGTGCTAAGACCACCTAAAGATAAATTTTAAATGTTCCTATTATTAATTAGAACAGGTTTCGCTTTAGATTTTATATTTTACGCTGACATTTATTACTTTAAATCTTCCTAGTGCTAAAACTGAAAATGTGACCTTTTGACCTCTGGGGTCACAAAGAACAGAGGGGAATTTAGCAAGTTTACATTTTTATTGAAAGTGTGATTACTTTCGATCATTTTCAGCTTATTTTCATGATACAAGAATGACTGCGCATTCACTTTCCGTGCAAATGAACCCATTTGACTTTTGACCCCGAATATCTCGAAAACGCCCCAACGGCGGACTGATTACCACTCGGCATCGTATTCTACGCAAAATTTTACTCTAGAAAAGTTGGGTCTGGTTTTGTGCCCATTTGATGGACACCCCCCCCCCCCCCCCGCGCTGAGCCTGCAGACTAACACTTTTGAAGAAGAACGCAATTACTGTGGCTTAAATTGTTAGAATTTCTAAATTAATATGCATATCCAACAATTAATATGGTCAAAAATGGATTAATAACGAGAGGTATTAACACTTATTAGCGTGGACTAAGCCGTGAAAAATATTTTAGCGTAAAATGCAAACGACTCATCGTTATAAATGTAGCAAAAAGTCTTATTCTGCATTTTAACTGAGTTAAATATATTATTACATTGTATATTTTTGCTGTTATTTTATACGCCCACAGTGAAATATTACGTCGTCATCCAGGCTTGTAAATGCGTTGTCTCGAGAGGACGAACCCTGTCGATTTTCAGCGTTCCGCAACTTTTCGTTCCGAAGTTAAGCCCGTTTTTCCGAAAACCTGGTGAACGCCGATAGGGACTGGACTTTTCGACGTATTCTTTCAAATTTGGCTTGAAGCATTGTGGACAAACCCTTTTGATATTCAGCGTTCTACGATTTTCTGTTCCAGAAACCCTGAAACCCTTGTGAACACTATAGTTTTCGACGGATTTTTATCAAATTTGGTGTGAAACCTTGTGGTCATGAGAGGAAGAATCCTAACGAAATTCAGCGCTCCGCGACTTTTCTTTCCGAAATTATGCCGCCATTTCCAAAAATCTTGTGAGCGCGATAAATGCTATAGATTTTAATGGCTCTTTTTCATATTTGGCTTGAAGCATTGTGTTCATCGACCCCTATCGATATTCATAATCCACAGTCTTCCTTTTCTGAGTTATCATATCAATAGCAACAGCATACAAATCACCCAGTGATATGAACAGTTCTAAACAATGCTCTTATCACTACAAAAAACACCAGCAAATTCCATGAGTGTTGTTATCAGTCTCAAGGTTTTTTTAACCGTTCACTTTCTTAAGCCTTCACAAAAGGGCTCGTGCGTTACCATGGTGCAGGGTGATCCCCGTGGTGAGGTAGCATAGACGCAGCTACGTCACATGTACATCAGATGACACAACTATAGCGTCACCCTTGCGTCAGCCTGCGTCGCCGCAAGTAGTTTATGGTCGTCAGTTGCCGAAAAATGCGACGTAAACTAGACAGAAGTAATGCGGTAGCAATGCGTCACATCACACAACACCGCGTTACTCATAGATATATAAATATTTATACATTTCTATGGTATTACTATTTGTGTCACCTTTGTGGTAACGTGGATTTTGGCAAAATATTGAACATTTTCAAGAAATGACGCGTCTTTTAAGACACCACTGTGGTATCCTTACGCCGCTAAACTACCGACACAAAGCAGCGCACATTGGCTTACGCAAATACATACGCTAGGTTGCGCAAGGATTTACGCAGAATAGTGACGCACTGGTGTGGGCTAGGCTTTAGACATTATTTTGACCCTTCTGGATCTAAACGTTTACTTTACGTGAAACTACAGATTTTGGAAGGCGTATTTCTGATCATAAAGTGTTAGTTGTGATAGAGATATTCCTGTTAATACCACGTCACCTTTTACAAGAGAAATAGCCATTTAGAAGCAAGCGAATTACGATAAACTCAAGAATTTGATTTAGAACCGATATCGATTAAATCTCTAAATTCAACCTGTTTATCAACGAATGCACCCAAAGCCACCGCGTTGAAATTCGACCTTTCGGCAAACCATGGTTTAGTCAGAAAGGCGCTTAGAGAAATTGACAGGACGAAGACTTTCTAATATAACAAAACAAATATAAAGGATTTGGATAAGTAAAAAATAAATTATAAAGTAAAAAAAAAAGAAAAGAAATAAAAATAAATGTAACATTTACAAAAAGAGAAAACAACATCTAAAGGTTATGATAACCTTGTTTCGGGGTCACCAATCCGAGTAATTCGATAGTATATCGCAGACATAACACAATGTTGAAAATTCATGTTACATCTACCATAAATAAATATTTCCAAATATTTCGACAATTATACCACAATATTTATATATAACAAGCCTCAATTTAGTTTCGCACGATAAGTTATAACCATTTAAACATCAATTAAAAAAATAGACTGAAAAGGTAAACGAGAATTTACATTGACATCCGAACATTTTTGAGTGCAAAATAGGTTACGTGTCCTTAGTTTGAAATAATTCGCGGTAAGCCAGTCTACGAAACATTACAGAAATCGAGCTCAAGAAATCTAATTTAGTAACTTGCTAGTTGGACAACTCAACTAGCTGCTTTAACAACCAAAAAGCTCAATTTTACTGTTCTTTAGATTCGTTACTGCTTTAATGGTTGATAGATGTGTAGAAAATTCCACGTGTGATGGCTATTTAAAGGCTAATAGAACCCACACCGGTTGATGCACGTCTACCCTGTAATCACTTCATTATTTGTCATTTTAGTACGGCCATTCGCTGTGGTTAATTAAACTTTTAATAGAGGAAATTTTGACTGCGTGGGGAACCCTACCTTGACACATTTCTTCATTCGTTTTACTCGTACAATAATACAGATATGAACAATCTATTCTATTCTATCGGTTAATTATGTGGATCCCCGGGGCACTGTAGTGGGTCCATTCTTATTGTGTACATAAAAGATATACTGTTTGCCAATAGCATTTTCACTAGTTGTAGTAAATCTCGTGTATATAAAATATAGACTCCGTTAAGGACTGATTGATTCAAACTAAACTCGTGATCCAACAATGAATCGTTCTGAAACCAATTAAGTATTGTATTTCCGGGAACTTTTGAGACGCCGCAACTTTATTTTTTGGTAATGAATCATTAGATGTTGTAGTCAATCACAGACACCTAGGCTGCTCACCTATAAAAAATTTTGAGAAAAAATTTAAATACGTTTTGAAGCGAAATATCCATACTTGAATATTCTTGTGAATTGTGAGGTTTTTGTAATTTATCTGATCGCGATAAATTTGAAATAAATCAGTTCAGGCATCAATAATTATTACAAGTTTCCTAAAATAAACAACTTACGAATCTTGATATTATGAAAACGGCTTAGTTATATTGTCAGAACGTAAAAGGATAAGTAGGCTCTCTTTTTTATATAAAATTATTTATAACAAATCTACAAACTATCTTACGGATACGTTATCAGAACTTTACACTTATATATATAATCCACTTAACAATGTTAATAATATCCCTCTTCCCTTTTAGTAAATCTACATCTATCAAAAGTCATTCATCCCTAATATACTGAAACAACAGGTTTCTATAGTTTATAGTAAATGACATTATGTATGGTTTAATGGTCGTGAGCGAGACATTAAAAAAGCTAAGTCGCTAATATTTGGGACCTAGAAATTGACACAAATAGGTCGCAACGCATGCAATGATGTAATATGAATGTATATAAATTGATTTACATTCAATCGTTTCTGTTTTTACTGTAATTTCTAGTCAGTTAGGTTCGACGAAATACGCCAGTATTCTCAATCGAATTTCAATCTCTAGCGTCTGGTTTTTCAAGTCTACGCCGATAGTATTTATTGGGCATGCTCTCCAGATAAGAATATAGCGTCACCGTTTGACATGACTTGTGGAATATACCTAGCCTCGTTTTTCGAGTCCCTTAGTACCAATTGTAAAATGTTAATTTTGTCTTAAATATTGGATATCAGAAGCCCATCTTTTCCCGGTAAGATCACAACACCAATGTTGATTTAAAGCGACAAATAAATCGTGTTTTCAATGTCGAAGATTTTGGATGATATTGAGTTAGAGACATAGCTACATTATGTAATATATTGATACCGCACGAGGCGTTAGCCGGGTGTTGTTTCAAAATATTACGCAATGTCTTTAGTTCGAGACCATTAAACAACTTAAAATACAGACACTATCCCGCACGTGCTTTTCAGTGAAATACGTCACGCGAGTCTAATATTTCATCTAGTATAGATAATGTACGATTGGCAAGTAGCCCGTACATTATTGGAAATAATGGTACGCCAACATCAAAGGATGACGTCACATCTGTATTTTAAACAGATATAAACATTGAACATTATTCAAAAAGAATGCAAGTACCAGAACGTAAAATGCTAGAATGTCTAAATTTAAATGCATATTCAACAATTAGTAGGATTAAAAGCTGATTTATGATGACAAATTATTCTTGCTTGTATAGACTTATTACCGCTTTAAGGAAAGGACGTTTGTAAGTTTAGTCCAATCCAGTTGTATCCAAAGTTAAAATACATTTTAAACAAATCTAATCAATTTTTTATTGCAGCTTTAAAATTTTATTCATATCGCATTTTTATTTACAGGTGATGGGAATATTTGCTTTAATGAATTTTGTCGACTTGTTTTGGCTCATAAACAGCCCGATGAGGTGATAAAAGAAGAAATATTAAATTGTTTGGATCGAATCTTCCCTGAAGAACAGCACGAGATTGAACTTACCAAGGTAATGAGCTTATATACAGATTACCATCCCTTATAGACCAGTATTTATAGTAGTTGCTTGGTTGCGTATTAACCAGGGATGGCAAAACAGCATAGAGGTCAATAGCGCGATAGATACCGCAATATTAAAGGACAATATTGGTGCCAGTCATTATCACATATGTGATAGAACTGGTTAAACACGTTCCAAATATTATTTTATACAGAGATCATTGCTACGATGGATGAATAATCAATGTTTCAACAATAGGAAGAGACGAACGCAAAAGGAAAACACGAGTTATCCGTTTATGTTAATGTTTCAACAATAGGAAGTGACGAACGCAAAAGGAAAACACGAGTTATCCCTCTATAGAACTGGCTGAAGTGACGGGTGATAACAGATACGTGGGCGAATTTCTGCTCACTAAAAATTCCTTCAAAGACCAAAAGTTGTTATATTACACTGTAAGAGTATATCTGACAATTCAAAAAAGTAATTGCATGTCATTAGATAAGAGAACACGAGAAAAATAGAAACAGTCCGTACATTCACGGGTGTTTTTTCATTCTATACTTATAAAAACATGGTAATGCATGGATTTTTTCTATGAATTGTCAGATATCCTTTCACAGTCCCATACAACAACTTTTGGTCTTCGAAGGAATTATTAGTGAGCAGAAATTCGCCCATGTATCTGTTATCACCCGTCACTTCATTCAGTTATATAAACGGATAACTCGTGTTTTCCTTTTGCGTTCGTCACTTCCTATTGTTGAAACGTTGATTACTCATCTATTGTAGCAATGATCTCTGTGATAAAATAATATTTGGAACGTGTTTAACCAGTTCTATCACATATGTGATAATAACTGGCACCAATATTGTCCTTTAAGTGGGTAATATGTCAACATATTGTGATTGTTCTGATGATTTTATCTCTAAAAAGACAATTAGGTAGACGGGAATGACACCAATGTGTATAGATTCTTTTTTAACGGTTTGGGGGGAGGGGGAGTCGGGGGATGGCCGAATGGTTAGCGCGTACGCTTCGTATCGTAGTAGGACATTTTTAATTCACCCATATTATCGTCTATAGATCATTATAAAAGTGTGTGGGGGTTTGGGGTGTGGGGAGGGCGTGGGTGGCCGAATTGTTAGCGCGTGCACGTTCCGTCATAAGGTCTGTTAGTGGGTCAACTGGTGTGGTTTCGATTCCCCGGTTGTATGTGACAAGGAGTGGGGGCGCCTGTCCAAACTCGTGGGTTTTCTCCGGGTCCTCCGGTTTCCTCCCACTGTTAAAGACCCCTGCACGCAAGCGAATTATTGAAATAAAATTGAACCATCTGTTAGTCCCTAAATGACTTGGTTTGTGTCGAGTGGACATTAAACCCCATTTCTCTCTCCATCTAACGGTTTTAATACTTTCATCGGATGCCTGTGTCATATTCGGCTATTTGTCGTTATAAAGAGTAAGGTCATCAGGATGTCCTGAAAATATGATAGGCCAAGAAATGTCATGGATTTAACAATAAAGTCAATGGGGAGAGAATGATTAGTCTTAGACTTGATATCGACTTGACTAACTATGCCCCATATTAAGATGTGTTTTACCAGTGTAAACCAGTTTTGAGACAGTCGATTACACCCTTTAGTCCCCCCACCCTTAAAATACCCTTGCCTACCCCAGAATAAGATTTAAAATGCCAAGGGAATGTCTGGTTTGTTGATTAAAAACTTGAAACCAATTTTGTTTTGTCATCATTTTGGTTTAGACATTTGTGACGACATGCTTTAATTGTTGTTGTTTAGGTTATTCAGATTATGTCTAAGTTAGATCGACAAGCCAGTGATCTCAGCCAATCAGATGTCATTAGATTTTGTGAAGAAATGGACATTAATCAGAATGGTAAAATAGACAGGGCAGGTGAGTTATGTCCCCCTTATGATACCCTAGATCATGGGTGTAGAACTACATAATGCACAAATTGATACCGTAGCAATAGAACCTAAGGATTAACCAAAGGGAAATTACCTAAATAATGATACACAAGACCGAAATATTATCATGTTTTATAGAAAAGTAGGCACACCCACCCTGGATCATGGGTGTAAAACTACATTATGCACAAATTGATACCCTTCCAATAGAACCTAAGGATTAACCAAAGGGAAATTACCCAAATAATGATACACAAGACCGAAATATTATCATGTTTTATAGAAAAGTAGGCACACCCACCCTGGCCTGTGCACCATGCCTATTATAGCTTGGCATCGTAGTAATACTGATATATAATCGTACCTTTCATGTTCTCTGATGATCATGCCTGATATAACCAGTGTAACCTGATAATGAAAGCGGGATTTATGTCCTACTTTTCTGCACCAACCGTGATAAAATTTGGTCCAAGTTAGGACATTGGTGTATGTGGATTCGCAAGTGAGAAGTGATATCAGACCTATAATGTTTCATACAAGCTAAATTTCCCCGTTACCTCAATACCGCCATGGTATTTTTTTTTTTGTTTTGCTTGTTTCTTTATTATGTTTTTTCCTTCTTTTATATTTTCAGAATTTGTGAGTTCTCTGTGTGGTAGTGGTATTTCGTTATAAATCATAATCCTCTTGAAATCAGATCAACGCAACTCAACGATTTAAGTGCCAACAGTCGCAATCAGGTCATCATGTACTTCCGATTATAGGTCTTACTTGTAACTCAGTTATTCTCTTTCATAATGACATATACGGTATCGTCGATCACAACTGGCAGTAAGTCGTCTGTATTGGTCGTTGCTATTCAAACACTTTATGAAACTAATTCAAATCGAACGAAATCGTCTTGATTTTTAAAAAAATGCCAATTTGGGTACATTTTTAATAAGATTTTTGTTTTTATTAAGTTCGTTATTTATAGATACAAAAGAAAAAAAAAGAAAGCTAAATAATTTTTGGGTATCCGATATAAACACTGAACCTTAATATAGTATGTGTTGTGATTGTACAAATTAAATTACTTTGTTTCACTGCAAGAAAACTCTTTCTTTTGAAAAAAATGTTTCATGATCCAGCACGCGCTTCTGTTCCGGTTTACATGTGAGTGAAGCCTAATCCCTACCTTGATCATGCGTTGTTTTGATTGACAGCATTGTGTGAATCTGACATCATAAAGTTCTTGAAAGACCGCCTTTTGCTTAAAATGTTTTTATTTTGTATATAAAAAATATATTTATACACTTAGCTTGAACTTCAGTATTTCAATAGTGTTGTTGTTAGATCTGACAGTTGAATGTTTTGAATTTTGACTCTTATTTCCGTGAATCAAGTAGAATTTGATCTCAGCTACAAATGCGTTCTTCATATCAAAAAAGCTTACTAATCGTGGCCCAAAACATTGATAATCGCTTAAACTTAATCGGCTACTGATTTTAAGAGATGATTAAATAAAATTTCATTGGGTTTAACCCTATCCATGAAATACTGTTGTTTTGATCATTATTATGATTTATAGATGATGCCCTGCTAAAATTCCCCTTCCTCGCATTGCACACATAACCATATGTTACTCTGATAATGACCGGCATATTTTGTTAAGGACTAGGAGAAATTTTAAACCCTACTCTATCCCATCACCTCTGAGGAGAATTTTTACAAAATGAATCAAATACAAACAGCACTGTAAAATATATGCTAATAGTTTTCAAATATAACTTCAACAAATTGTAATGTGTATATTTGTATTGTATCACTATGGATATAACAAATCATTATCAATAACTCTTTCCTTTTACTGTAGCACACATATTTATGATATATTATTAACAGACCGTAATCTTTGTGAAATTATGGACCATGAATATAATAACAGTAATTAAAGAAAGTATTTTTGACATACAATTGTTTAAGTTCCATATTTTTGTGTGGTTAAATGGCCCATTACTTCACACAGAATCATTTACTCAACGCTTCAAATAGCTCAGCGAATTTGATTTCCTGACTTAGAATTCCCAGATGTATGCTTACACTTTACTCCATTCATTAGACGTAGTTCTTCTAAATGTTGCAAATGCGCAGACTATTTTGTCTTTTAAACTATATTATAGTGCGTTCAGATAGATATTATACATACATCGAGCCCCATATATATGTATGGATTACAAGAAGTGTTTATAATTGGATTACACAATCTTTGGAGTATATATAGCGAGGGTTAATTCGATCTCCTAATAAGCATTGAAAGGAAGCATAACTGGGGATAATGTATAGTTTTGTTGAGAATTCATCTTGCTTAATCAAGGATTTCGGTTGCTGGGTTGACAAAGGTGCTGATAAAATTGTATATATTAATACAGTATATTTAATATACCTTCTTTTATATTGATAAACCCAACCTGGTTAAAACACAGATCTTATTTCGTTTCGTTTTTATAGTTCAAAATTTCGTGTTACTTGTCTTTACTACACTTGGATCTGGAAGAGTTGTTATTTAACTCGTGTTCTGAATGGTGTCAGGGATAGGCCAATGAAACGGTCTGTTACGGCGAGCTTTAGGTGTGTTTTGCACGCAACTGTTGGTAATCCACTAGTAACATCAATGCTGATTGGTTAATCAATTGTCTGACGTCATAGGGTCATAAGTCGGTCTTTTGACCCCTGACGTGACCTATCGCTATAACTTGTCAGATCTTCGTGTAGTGTATAGGCCATCGAAAGTATAAAAAAAACGAAACGAAATATAGATCTGTATTTTAATCAGATTGCGATAAACCTAAAGACTTTATATTTCTAAAAATTTTAATATACCCTTCACCAAATATTCAAAGTCCTATACCGAAGACCTCAATATCTCCGTGCCTCTGATTTGCACTATAAATATTATTCGCGGCCATTTTGCCTAGAGATACACACTTAAACTGTTCGGTGCTTCTTATAATTGTGACAGTATTGGTTCTTTAATCAAGGTTCGGATGACAAGACTAGTTTAACAGCTTATAATACTTTTATTCTCTGCTTCTTCTAACAAAACTTCTTATGTACAAAACTTAAAGACTCCATAACTTACTTGTATTGAGGGAGCCATATCCTAGCTTGGCATAAATGTGCCAACTCTCGGGCGCTCTCCCTCGTTCCGTCTTGTGCCGAGCCGAGGCGCCCATGGCCTCTGCTCTCGTGTCCTGTCCGGACCTCTCTCTCCATTTGTTTGTTAATCTGGCTTTATAAACTATTCCAGACAAAAGAATCTTATTAGACATCTGGCTGATGTATCATGTATCATATCAGGTTTAACATTTGCTTATCATCAAAGAAAGTTTAAATAAGACATGCCATCAAGGTAAAGTTACATAATCACATAGAGAGGCTACCAAGAACTCCAGGGGTCGGACAGGTTGATATGTTTGATATGTTGATATTAAAATCACTTTCCTGTGTCGAAGTGGCAGCAAGCGTCTATAACATCAGATAATCTCTGATTATGTAACATAATGTAGCTACGAGAACGTAGCTGAAACGTTGAGATATGCTGATGTGCTTGTTTTTAGCTACGATTGGATGCTTTAAATTTCACCTGGCAAACTTAATTTCTTTATTAATGCATGCAATAACTAAAAAATAAGCTAATTGTATACCATTAGGACTAGTTAAACCCAGCCCAATGTAGCGAAAAACTTTTGGTTTATAGTTGTCTTTTGGTTAAAATGGCCAAAAGCCAGCTATTATCGCTTCGATTTAAAAGAGGTGACTGGTACCCGTGTCAGGTAAGATTATATGCTTGGATGTGGCACAAGTGTAACAAATAAAGAGTAATCAATCGATGTTTTGAAGAACAAATTGACAGTTTTGTTGTTTGAAATCCGATCTGATTCGCGATGGGGTTTTGCCAAGTAAAACTAAAAAATATTATCTCTTATCTCAAACACGGAGGGTTGAGAGATGAGGTTTCTTATCTAATCATACTGGTGCATTATTTGTCCGTTATATTTATCTGTGTGGAATTAAAACGATCATATTGCTTTTTAAGACAACTATTATTCTGTGTTTAAAATTAAGGTGGCATAAACGGTACTAGCGTGTTGTTTGCAAGTTTTGACTCGTACAGTGAGTGATCCCGTGATAGGCCATTGTTGGTCCGGTACAGTGGATGATCTGATACGATGACCTTGAAATCCGGAGTCATCATCGACTGTCTGCTCTGCTAAATAATTATTACCAAGCGGTAAATCACATCTGACGACCTCTCTTGACAATCAGTTTATCTTACGGTGGTAGTCGTGTGGGTGTGGAAGAGCATTAAAAGAAATCTGTTGTTGGATAATTCAAGACAAATTTCCACATTAAGACAAGATCACGACATAGCTATGAGAGTGACGGGTGCGGTGTACGGGGTAGGATAGGTTTACTATACAACTTCTCATGTATATGGGTATTTTACATATTTAACATTCCTTGACACAGTTCTGAATTCATACAACCCGAAGTCTTTGTGAAACTAAAAATATATCTTCTGAATTATCACGCAAAGTCACAGTTTCCCGGTAGACGCTCATAGTGATAGTAAAAACCTCTGAAAATGTTATCGTTGTGTTTTATGGTTCTGATGATCAGTGGACGATGCTAAGTCATGATAATAATACAATGATAAAACAATGATTAATCCGTACAGATTTAATTTATTGCTGTCTGAGTGAAACTAAAAAGACACTGTCTGCAGAATCACGCAAGTCTCCGGTTATCATAATGACGCAATAATAAATTGGGACAGATGTTAAGTAATGTAAATAAGAGGATTGGCTGATCAGTTCTAAGCCTGTAATGGATAGATCAATTGGTTTGAAACAAACGTTTGCCACCAACAAGTACAATCATTGAATGGATCATAGATAGAAGAACTGTAACAGTAGTATTATTATTGTCTTCGTACCAGACCATCTTGTGCAATCACCAAAGATGGACAAAACTGGACAAAGAGCAATCATCAAGTATCTGCATATAAAAGGAGTACTGTCTGTTCCTGGTGATACTCCGACTCGAAAAATGCGTGCCAAGCCTTTATTTTTTTTAATTAAAATGGCTAAAACTTTGTGACATACCTGGAATTGTCATCCCTTTGATATCTTCCCTTAGATTAAATGACTAGAAGTCCGATAAAATCCAGTATTCTCTTGTAAATTTCATATATTTCGACATTGTCACTTTATCAGAACATAAACATTTAGAACATAAACATTTCGACTACGCGTGCGTTTAATATAGGGCACTTGTATTTCGTATTAGGGTAGACAGGTACTTAACAAATTTGGTGCATTCGGTTAGAAATGTCTAGTGAAGGAGAATGCGCCAGTTTGTTTCGCGACAAAAAGGGGTGCTCGATTGTCAGTCCGGAACGTCCCGAATTGACAGAATTGCAATCAAGTAATACAGAATTCAGTCCTGTCACAGTTCTGCCAGTCCCGACAGCTGAGGTGGTGTGAGTAGAATCGTGACGTATTTTAAGTAACAATTATGTTTCAGCTCACATGATTGGTTGAGATATTTTTTATGCAATCGGCACATGCGTTATACTCCGAAATTATCCTTTTCACTCGATTAACACTATTTTCGGAATAGAGAGAATTTAATTCCGGAACGTTCAATCGAGTATCTCCTAATACTTATTAGGTTCTCACACTTTGAAGCTTGTTTGAAACAATATTGTTTTTGTTCAGATTGATAGGGGTTTTTTTTGTTTCCACCTTGCTTATTTCGCTCAAAAATTCTCACTGGATACATTTGAGTGACTTAAAGATTAAAGCTATTTTGAAAAGTTGGCACATGTCAGAACCATGCGAACTCTCAGAAATAAGTAAATTGGTGTAAAAGGTTAGCCCTTATTTAAATTTAAATAAATATGTCGGGTAAAATGATTCCGAATTTTGTTTTCTGAGACTTTATAACTCTGTTTTCTGAGACTTTATAACTCTGATTGAGAGAAACGAGCATTTTTGTTTACCTTTTCGGAACGCTTTTAGGGGTTAAAATTTAGCTGCTGTTGTAATTAAGCAGAGCAAGACTGAAACCAATTTCCAATTTCGTTTTATTGCAATTTAGATCTTAAGGCTGAAACACAACTATTTTCAAAGCATATACGTCATATAATCCATAGATCATTTCAAATTTTTGACATGTCCGGGAAATAAGCAATTTTGTGGGAATCACTTTTCAACTTTTTATGCCCATAAAATATTCCCCACTGTTCATTACATTATCGATATTCATAGAATTGCGTTGCAGCAGATTGAATGGCAATCTGATTAAAACACAGATTCTATTTTGTTTCGTTTTTATAGTTCAAAATTTCGTCTTAATTGTCTTTACTACTCTAGAATCTGGAAGAGTTGTTATTATTGACGTGTTCTGGGTGATGTGAGGGATCAGCCATTGAAACGGTCGTTACGGCGAGTTTTTGGGATTTTGATGCACGGAACTGTGGGTAAACCAATAGAAACGTTAACGTTGAATGATTAATCAATGTCTGATGTCATAAGACCAAAAGTCGCGCTGTTCCCCGACGTGAACTTCCACTATATCTTGTCATCGAAAGTATAAAAAACGAAACGAAATATAGATCTGTATTTTAATCGGATTGGAATAGTAACCTTTGAGATAAAGTGTAAAATATTTGTAAGATATCTTAAAAAATTTTGGATTTACAATAGTTTCACATACCGGTATTCCTTTAAATATAGACATTTAGATATAGATACAACAGATTTGTTTCCGATGTTGTAGTAGAAAAGAAAACAAAAACAAACGAATGCTGGGAAAAAAATGGAATATTGCTGTGCACAATTTCAAGATAAAAATTACGCGATATGTCAAGGAATGTGTCAAACAATTTTATTACTGTAGTTATTTCAGAA